AGCACTTTCAAGCTAAAAAGTGCTTATTAAACGCCACAAGCAATAATCATGTTTCTTTCCTGTTATTTAAACTATTAAGAGGTGAATTATGAGAATATATGCATTTTAACTGAGTCAGTTTAATTCATGAACTAGACAAGGTTGGGGGTATTCACAATACTTCGATCATATGATTGTCAGCATATGACCTTGGTTATTTAGCCAGTAGCTAAATGTCAGTTGGTCGGTCAGTCCACTGCATTTGTCCAAACTGAAATGTCTCAACGACTGATTCTCTAGTACCACCATAAGGTCAGGGGTTTTGATTGAATTGTCAAAAAAATACGTGTTTTGTGGTTTTGAGTGATTTGTCTCGACAACTACTTGATAGATTGTTGTGAAATTTGGTACACATTCATATCTCCCTCAGGAAGAACTGCAGTCACTTTGATGATTCCTTAATCCATCATCAGGTCCAAATGTGAATTTGTCCAACACTTTGATTTATGACCAAACAGGCCCGACTGCAAAATTAAAGAAATTCCCATTGGCAGTCTCAGCAATGCTACGTGCTTGTGTTTAGTGCTAGCTAGCATGCTAAACTTAAAAGTTTAAAATGGAAAAATTGTCCGCTAAAATTCAGCATGTTGGCATTGTCATTTCAGCATTTTAGCATGCTGATAACATTATGCTGATATGTTAACATTTAGCTCAAAGCAAAGTGCAGCCTCACAGAGCTGTTAGCGTGGCTGTCGACCCTTAGTCTTGCCATTAATATTAATAAAGGGGATGTAGAATTTATGATGCATATCCTTCTATTTCTAGAAACACTTGTTCCGTTAAACAGTGAATCACCTACTGTATCTAATACTTATGGCAACATAGCTGCACTTAATATACAATGCTTGTAAACAGCAGCGAGTCATATGATTGGAAATGCTGGATTAAGGATACAGATTAAATATGACTCACATACAAGTAGCAGTGTGGTATGGTTAACAAGGTCAAAAGCACAGGTCTACATGGATGAGACATGTCTGACAAAAGTGAAAACATTGGAAGCATGTAGACAACTAAAATATTAGGACCAGGGGGACCCACTGTTCTTTATGGAGTGCACTAGTTTGTCAGTAGGTATACATATCAACCAATGAACACTGTAGAAAGTGATTTGCACTATTGCGTCTCACACAAGATCTAAAATCCCCTTTTTCCTGGCAACGATTAAAAGGTGATATCAGTTGGGAATTACCCACTCTACCACCACAGATGTAACGTGGGAATATGCGGCCTCTGCTGGGACGTCTGCCTGCCAGATTACCCGGTGACTGAAAGGACTTTGTGGGATTACGGCACATGATCCTGTCTGGAGGCTGAAGTGGCCCCACTCTGTGTCTAGAGGGGGGATGAAGGATGTTCCCTGATGGTGGTGTCGTCTCACTTAAAGTAGTTAGAAAACATGATGCTGTAATGACAGAACCAGCTTACAGGGTGTACTGTTGGCCTCATGTTACTGTCTTTTCTCTTTGTCTTTCTTTCTTGATTTTTTTTAAACAGATGCATACGTTTTGAAAGCAAAGTATACCCTCAAATTCTGGATTCTAGGAGTTTTTTTCTTCTACTGTTTCTATCCGGGATGACGACCTTCCTCATAAAAAGCCTGCTAAATAGACTAGAATTCGACAGCATCACATAGAGCACGTGGAAACACAAATAGCACATCTGCACTGATGGACCGATGCCTGAGTGATGTAAAGCGTAATTGGCAGCTACTGCTTGTTTTGCTGTATTATTATTGTCATTATACTTGACTGCAGTGCTGATGGTTTAAACCTTGACCATGACAATTTGCACATTTTCCTCTTATTCACTCTCTCAATAAATTACGATACCAAAGCCTCCTGAATGCCTGCTGTGTAATCATGTCAATGCCATATCAACTACTATTTAAAGCACTCTTACTCAGGGAGCACTGTCCTGTATTTTTCCTCTTCATATGAAAATATCAGTGACCAGTGATTTTTGTCTGACGTACCCCCACAGCCCCTTCAGATAGGCCCAATGAACCCTTTATCATAACCCTCTGACAAATGGGATGGCTTTATGGTATTGTTTAGTGGTATTTCTTTTGTAGTTTTGGCCTAGTTTTCATGAGTAATACTGCCATTTGGAGTGACAGCTACTGGTTGTTTCAAACATTTACAGTATATCTACTTTTAGCTTTTTGTTGTCTATTTCTAACTATTCTCTTTCTGCAGTCTTGATCAACTTACAACTGACTCAGATTGGTGGAAAACAGTCAAGTCTTGTGCAGACTACCATAGTTGGTTGTTGTTATTGTGACACTAGCTATAAAGATCAGAATCACACAAATCTGTAATTTTACTTGTGTGTTTTTCCTCCTAAAAACAAATGTGGATAAATATTGTCAAATCGTAGTTTCTATTTTTAATTTTTTTCAAATTAGCTGGGCTTCACAATTTTTCCAAGTTCCTTCTGGTTGGGAATCACTGCACTAACGTGTGATGTGTTTGTCTTGCTCCTCATTGGTTTAAACCCTCTGCCAGAGGAAATAAACTCCAGTAAAGCTCAGACTTCACCGACAGCCGACTGTGCGAAGATGCCAGCTGGCTGCATCAGCTTGAAGCCAATGATGCTGCAAGTCATCTTCTTTCTGCAGCTTTCTGTCTGTAAACATAACTTAATGTTTTATCACCAAAATTTACCTCCACAAAGTCTGCTTGATCAGTGAGTCTCAACCTGAAAGAGTTGAGATTCCCAATAGAAAACATAGCTGATGTGGGCCTTTTCTGCATATTACAGAGGTGATCAACTGTCAACTTGTTATTATGTGCCAAGGCCAAAACAACCTTGATCAATATCCTGCCCTGTGACCATTGCCTGACAGCAGATGTTTGGTTGTGTCATGAGGTCCTCACATTTCAGGAGACCCCCGTGGTGACAGCTCTAGTCAGTGATTTTTCACTTTCATCTTTAATCTGAGTTTCAATGGAGACTTTCACTGTCACTTGGTAGGCTACATACAGGTGCTGGTCATATAATTAGAATATCATCGAAATGTTGATTTATTTCAGTAATTCCATTCAAAAAGTGAAACTCAGACTGATATATTTCATTCCTTTTAATTTTGATGATTATAACTGACAACTAATGAAAACCCCAAAATCAGTATCTCAGAAAATTAGAATATTTTGAAAAGGTTCAATATTGAAGACACCTGGTGCCACACACCAATCAGCTAATTAACTCATAACACCTGCAAAGGCCTTTAAATGGTCTCTCAGTCTAGTTCTGTAGGCTACACAATCATGGGGAAGACTGCTGACTTGACAGCTGTCCAAAAGACGACCATTGACACCTTGTTCAAGGAGGGCAAGACACAAAATGTCATTGCTAAAGAGGCTGGCTGTTCACAGAGCTCTGTGTCCAAGCACATTAATAGAGAGGTGAAGGGAAGGAAAAGATGTGGTAGAAAAAAGTGTACAAGCAATAGGGATAACCGCACCCTGGAGAGGATTGTGAAACAAAACCCATTCAAAAATGTGGGGGAGATTCACAAAGAGTGGACTGCAGCTGGAGTCAGTGCTTCAAGAACCACCACGCACAGATGTATGCAAGACATGGGTTTCAGCTGTCGCATTCCTTGTGTCAAGCCACTCTTTAACAAGACACAGCGTCAGAAGCGTCTCGCCTGGGCTAAAGACAAAAAGGACTGGACTGCTGCTGAGTGGTCCAAAGTTATGTTCTCTGATGAAAGTAAATTTTGCATTTCCTTTGGAAATCAAGGTCCCAGAGTCTGGAGGAAGAGAGGAGAGGCACAGAATCCACGTTGCTTGAAGTCCAGTGTAAAGTTTCCACAGTCAGTGATGGTTTGGGGTGCCATGTCATCTGCTGGTGTTGGTCCACTGTGTTTTCTGAGGTCCAAGGTCAACGCAGTCGTCTACCAGGAAGTTTTAGAGCATGTCGTGCTTCCTGCTGCTGACCAACTTTATGGAGATGCAGATTTCATTTTCCAACAGGACTTGGCACCTGCACACAGTGCCAAAGCTACCAGTACCTGGTTTAAGGACCATGGGATCCCTGTTCTTAATTGGCCAGCAAACTCGCCTGACCATAACCCTATAGAAAATCTATGGGGTATGGTAAAGAGGAAGATGCGATACGCCAGACCCAACAATGCAGAAGAGCTGAAGGCAACTATCAGAGCAACCTGGGCTCTCATAACGCCTGAGCAGTGCCACAGACTGATCGACTCCATGCCACGCCGCATTGCTGCAGTAATTCAGGTAAAAGGAGCCCTAGGAGTGCTGTACATGCTCATACTTTTCATGTTCATACTTTTCTGTTGGCCAACACTTCTAAAAATCCTTTTTTTGTATTGGTCTTAAGTAATATTCTAATTTTCAGAGATACTAAATTTGGGATTTTTTTTGACTGGAATTACTGAAATAAATCAACTTTTTAATGATATTCTAATTATATGACCAGCACCTGTACTGTGCTGTGTCAAAAGCTTCTTGCTTTTGGCCCTTGGTACCCATGGTATATATTAGCTGTTGGTAAAATTATATACTACAGTATTTGCATCAAACATTTTTCCCTAACTCTGCTCACTGTGTGCTAATTTTTGAGGTGATTACTAAGTGCCGAGTTTGTCCTTCAGAGGGGAGGGAGCTGCTCACCCTGGCACGTTAGTGGATTAGATATGAGTCTGTGACTGTGTCATGGATTTAAGCTCTGTTCACAGGCATAAGGCTTCCCACTGGCTGACCTGAGTCTCACAAGGTTCAGTTATTAGATAGTTACAGTTGAAGATAAAGATAAAGACAGTGACATTATACTACAGGGAGGCTAGGAACCTCTCATTATGTATAAAAGCGATACTGATGCATTCAAGACATCAACTTGTCAATCAGTACAAGACTTTGTGTCAGCTTGTGATAAAAAAAATTTGAAAACATAACCTTTTCATCTTAAAAAACAATATAAAACATTTTATTGAAATTGTGATACTTGAACAGACACAAACATGAAACAACACATCACAATACAACGACTAGCTTCACAAACTTCCATCTAAACAAAATCTACAGTAGGTGTACAGGTTTAAGTAAGGTCATTGGATCTGCTGACAAACCGATGAGTGGATCCCCTTCTAAATCCACCGACGTTTTCAACAGCTAAAGCCCCCTAATAGAGCTGGAGGTGCTGCGTTTGAGCTGCTAAAGCCTGGTGACTGACGTCAATTCGTAGTTGTGGGAAGCCCAAGAAAGGTGCTACGCAGGCAACATCTTACTGTTCAGCCACAAATCCAAATGCAACACGGCATCTTTACAGTTCAACACACTAATCTACTCCTCTCACAGGTGAGTGATAAACACAGGATAGTGCCTCATAATGTGAACTTGATTACATATAATACATCACATAACAGTTTAGTACATTCAAGATAAATACAAGATAAATTGAAGAGCTTCAGCGTGAGATTAGAACAAAAATGCCATGTCATCTGCAGCCACTGAAATCTGAAACCCTGACATGTCCTACAAAGACCTACAACACTGATTTTAAGTTAAAGACAACCTGTGCAGATATCTCATCTCAGGGACAAAAACGAATCACCATGTCATACGTCAACGTGTTCATCAGTCTTTGCCAGTGGCAGAGTCAAGGGATGCTGAGGGAAACGGATTGCTTCACTGTTGCGCCGCATGTACGCGTGGCCGCTAATGGGGTACCACATCTCTGTGAAGGTCAGGTTGGCCACGGTGATGCTACAGCGCCCCAGCACCTTGAAGCCTGACTTGCGGTAGAAGGGAATGAGGACGTCTTCGCACATCAGCACTGCTCGGCGCACGTTGGGCAGGCAGCGCAGATACTGCAGGTAGCGCCACATCAGTATGGGACCTTTGCCCTGCTGTCTGAAGGTGCGATGGACAGCGAGGATGTGGATGTGGACAGTGGAGCCGCAGGGCTTGTGGAGAGTCAGTGCGTCCTGGAGCAAAGAGTTAGAGATCATAAATTCTGACCTCATTCATACATGTATACATATACTTGTAAATCATATTTTGGAAAGATGCATGATGTCTTACTGTAGTGAGTCTGTCCTGGTCCCAGAGAGAGCCGATGATGAAAGCCACCAGCCGGCCCTCCTCAAACCAGCCCATGGACAGTTCTGGGCACAGTGTGAGGAAGTGACGCACCTCATCCAGGTGGAGGGGACACTCACCTGACACAGAGATAAATGCTGAGAGAGAGAGAGAGAGGGAGAGAGGAAGATAGAGATAGAGAGAGAGAGAGAGAATGAGAATAGCCGTGTGCAAAATCGCTTGGCACTACTTTTACGCACACTAAAGGCGGTGCTAATTGCCCAATAAACAAAACAAAACAAAAAAGTTTAAACTTTTAAATAAACTTTAAAACAGTCTCTTTAAAAGCTAAATTAAATAATGTCCGACCAGTGGCTAAATTTAAAACAAAAAGGGAATTAGATCTGTCGATGCCATGGTTTTACGCAAAGCCATCCAGCCATGTAATGCTTCTTTTAATAATAAAAAAAAACAACTGCTTAGGGACCACTTACCTTCTCGTTCGATTTCAAAGACGCTTATGGCATCTTGCGTGTTGAGCGGTCGGACTTCGCTTGCGGGAAGCGTGTGTCTCCTTTGGATACCGGGCGAAACAGAGGGTGTTGGCTGCATTGGTTTGATGAAAGGCTGCGCGCCAACAACGGACATCATACGATTTCACTCTCTGTTCACCTCGAACGCGTCTCTCGTCTCCTTCTCTGCCCCTCAGCAGGATCACCTCTGTCAGGTCCTGCGAGGACAACAGGATGGTTTGTGCCCGTATTTATGGGACAGCTTTGCCGGCTGTGATTCACCAGCTAATTTGCATTTGAATATTTGATGTCAATGAATGAATGAAGGTCACAACTGTGTAGGGCAATTTACCGAACCCTACAATTAACTGTGTCCATTGCGGCAGTTTGTTTTTTGTCTGTTAAACGAGCTGGCAGATAATAACAAATGCTTTTCTGTGAACCACCACCTCCGGCCTATTTATAGCAGGTTCCCGACGCGTGTTCACAGGGAGGCACAGCAGCAGTTGTGTGTGCCACTAAAAAGTTCATTGTTAAACCACATTTCAACAAATAATGTAGTAGGCTACATATACAACGTGCCCCTGTGTATTAACTACTCATCCTTACTTTCCAACGCAATTAAATAAAACAATTAAAGCACACAAGTTAATCCTGAAAACAAACGCCACCGAGCCGCCTTTTGATGGCACCTTCCCCTTCACAGCAGCGAGGCTACGGTCACACTTACCTAAGGTTTGTTGGTGAGGTTTTGTGGACTGGCCAGCTGTCCTTCTTAGCCTCTGTGTCACCACCACACACGTCTCTCTTCATTATGAAGTGATTATTACTATGAGTCACATGATGAAGGATTACAGAAGTTGTTTCCACAACTCGGCGCATTACCGACACTTCGTCTCCTGTCTGACACACAGCGCGTATAGCGCGTTTAATTAGCTGCGTGTTTTGGACAAAACAACCAGTAGGCCTAATCATATTACAAATAAAACCGGTCTTTGATTCAGTTCTTTTGACTCTCTGGCCCAGATTGGTCCAGCTGCTTTGTCTTCAGTTGGTGTTATGATCTTAGAATTAGAAACAATCACATGCTTTTGATATTAAACAGGCCACTGAGATCCTTTAATTAAGTGAAAGTACCAATACAAAAATGTAAAAACACGCGATTCCTATTAAACGTCCTTGATTTAAAAGTGTGTACCCTTTGACAAGTACAGAAGTATTATCAGAAAAAAAAATACTAAAAGTATCAATAATAAAATTAGCCTACTTGTTCTGCAGGAGAAATGGCCCAGAGACTGGTCTCAAATTGTTCTTATTGGTGGAAGTGGAGCTATTTTATTTTTTTACTAATTTGTACAAAGTTTAGGGTTCACCAACTTGTGTCACTAGATGAATCTGAGGAGTCCTGAGAGGATTAATAGGGGAGGAAGCGAAGAAGAAAAATCAAAGTCCTGCTACAGGAACATGTTCTCAATTTTTTTTTACTTGTCTTTGACTTTGCTGTTTGGTGAAACGTTAGTTACCTTTACCTCTTTGTTTCTCACACAGTTATTTAAATTAAACCACCTGTGAAGTCTAAAGACAATATGTCTCTTCCTAACAGCTCACATTGGAAATGTAAGGAGGGGCCCCATTCTGATGCTGCTATTTGTCACATGCCAAAAATGTTGGGAACCACAGGTTTAATCTATATAATATTATCTAATATAATATATAGATTTATATAATAATATTTTGGTTTATTATATACAAGTAATTGCAATTTATACATTTACATGTTTTATAATTTAAAATCTTAAGAGTAACTACAGCTGTTAAATAAATATTATGAAATAAAAACTCCAATATTTTAAGTATGTAGCTGAAAATTATTTGTACTTTAGTAACAGTACTTTAGTAAAGTACTTGGTTACTTTCCACCACTGCTGTCCATAATATGAATTTAGTTCAGTGGAATTTTTGGCTGTGCATTTTATTTAGCCCCTTTCACATGCAAACTGAGCAAATAGTCAAACTGCTCTGCCAGCACTGTGGCATAAATATCTGACCTATCTGCTCCTGAACAGGGTGACATCTGGAGAAGCAGGCGGAAGAAGCAGCAGAAGGAGCAACCTGAGAATGGAAGAAGCATTTCCTGAAGCAGTGGGGTGCTGGTGGCTCGCAGAGACACACCATAAAGGCTCAGTGTCTCCAGTTGGATTCTTCTATCTCCCCAGTCTTTGGTGAAGTGTCCAAAATATTGTTTTAACTGTAAGAAAATGCGTGTGATGCTGATTGGCATTTTTTTCTGCCAAAGTTTTAAAATGGACAACATTACTAATGTGATGGCTGTTAACTCAGAAAATATGCATCATTATGGACCAGTGCACAACTGACCACTGTGCAATCCTCAGCCTTTGTATAAATACAATGTGAGTGAATTGGGCTCCATAGACTTTAATGTATTATATAGCTCCTAATAAGTCATCAACTGTACATGTCAGGGTAATGAGCATAGGTACAGTTGATCAATGTGCAATACTGAGCATTTTGACATATGAATGGAGTATGTACTGTTTACAATAGCAGAGATATAAATACAATTGATGTCTATTGGATTGTTTTTAAATTGTAATGACTCAAAAAGTATAAAAGTTATCAATAAGAAAGGTCATAGCACCCATCTACAAAGAATCCCCGCACGGTTCAACATATCAGTCATTGTGGTAACATAAAAGTTGTAGGAGGACATACAAATCAAAGAAAATCAGCTTCCCACTAATATCTCATTACATAATGCAAATCTATGAATATTCTATGAAAATACCTTTCTGAAATCAGGCATGGTTCAATATATGAACAGCATGTGTGGCATGAATGTTTTTTTTTTTTTTGAGTACTGAGTGAGCGAAAAAAGGCACAGAATAAGTAAGCAGAAGCACATGCGTGATTGCTGCTTTCAGCGCTCACACCAAATAATTACAAGTCAACACTGACCTACTGTCAAACATGTGAGAAACCAGTGCTCATAAAAGAGCAACGTTTTGTAGCACAGAGGCGAGAAGGCAGCTTACAGTCACATCTCTATATTTATATGCAAGCAAACAATCCTAGCAGAGGACTGGTAAAATATGATTTAGTTACAGTTCAACTAATATAACTAAACTAGTTCATAGGATGGACATGTTGTATATTGTAGACTGATGGAAAAATAAAGTGGGAAGGTTGTTTACTTTCATCACAATTTGTTCCTTTCAAATATTGCAATGCCATTATTTTAGCATTTGGAAGCATTTGAATACTGGTCCAACAGAGGATAATTGTCATCCAGACACATTTTAACTCACTGAATTATGAGCAGAACTCAAGTCAGAAGCTCAAAGTATTTCTAACGGATTAGGGGGGCATTTTCACAAAATATGCACATATGCAGTTTAAGAAAAGCTTATCTCCCATTCAGGTTACTGAAGTAGTGCTCAACGCATGATGGAAGTTGGTATTATACAGCCCTGAAGCTCAACAAGGAGGGGTAAGGCAGAGTAGTGCTTCCTGGGGTGGGAAAGAGAGCGTTGGTCTAACTGCTGGTATCTGCTAAGGTTTAGGGTTCAGACGTAAGATCGGGAATCTGGGCTTTTCCTGTTTAGATCATGGTGCGTGTTTGGAGAGAGTAGATTTGTCCAGACATGGTGCCGGAGGTATTCAAGGCCTAAGTATCTCTGTTGGGGCTGAGAGGTGATACATAGATGGGAGAGCAATAGTTAAGGTTTATTTTTCCTCTTCTACTCCGGCTGGGGCATCGGTGTCTCGTTGGCATTGTTGTCGGTGATCTTGTTTTCCGGCTCGTCGTCGGACAGGAGGTCCAAGGAAGTTCCCTCCACCTGAAGCTGACGTCTGCCTGAGCGACCAGAGGAGAAGCTGATTGGGCCGCCGCGCCTGCAGGAGGAAGGGGAGTGGTGATAAAATGAAGGTATTCAAAGGTAAAATGCTGCTGCTCAGGTCTCTAACAAACTAAGTATTAACAAATTACTCATATAAAATCTCATGTAACAAACAATTTATGGAGTAGTGATGTCAGGTAATCAGCCACAGGTCACCACATCATTGTCAATTAGCGTTGTGTAAATGTAAATGTGTAAATAATGTCGGCTGACCGCTCATTCGTTGTATACTAGGCGGCATTTTTGGCCACCTGTCTTACTTTCTAACAGAAAATAATAAACAACAAAAACCAGCAAAGGACAGAACATATAAACCAGGTTTACGTATAAAGGACACTTTTTTATGTACTCAATGCTTGTATTATTTCCCCCCCATATGATTCCCTACTGAATTAATGAAATGTGACTATTGTTTTTTCCATGTTAAATAACAACACATTATCTTTAATACTGTAACATACCTTAAATATGCAAATGGTTGGATTAAATTTCAGTTTCACACCCAAAACCAATGTTCTTTATTGGACCAAATCTTTTGAATTTTGCTACAATCCCACACCGCATGGAACAATGAATCTGCAACGCCACATTTAAAAATATATTTTATTTTATTTATTAACTGTCTCTCTTCTGTATATAATTTTATATTGGCTTAAACACAAATGTTCATTGGCAGTAATAATAATAGGCAATATCTCTCATTAAATGTTCCCTCCATTTTAAATTAATATAATTTATTCTAGATTGCAACAACAAAGCGTCTATAGAGTAGGATTTCTGCAGGATTCTGTGAACCATACCTCTTTATTTATTTATTATTTTTTAACTTATTTATGAGTTAAACTGAATTTCCTCTAAAATGCTCTGCTGTCCAAATGAATGTAAATCAAAGGTTTAGAATAAACGTGATAAAGTTGCATGTACCTGGAAAAACTCATTAAACAAACCAGATGTGTTTTGCAGGTCGGTAAATAACTTTTCAGTTTCTTACTGATAATCTAATTAATTCTTTTTCTGAGAAGGAAATTATCAGTCCTCTAGTGTTTTCCTTAAAAGCATCCCAGATTATTTTGGGTTTGAGTGATTTCAGATGTGGCTAATTTGGGATACGTAATTCTTTAAAGGCTAGAATTACACTGCTCAAAAAAATAAAGGGAACACTTAAACAACACACTGTAACTCCAAGCCAATCACACTCCTGTGAAATCAAATTGTCCACTTAGGAAGCAACACTGATTCACAATCAATTTCACATGCTGTTGTGCAAATGGAATAGACAACAGGTGGAAATTATAGGCAATTAGCAAGACACCCCCAGTAAAGGAGTGGTTCTGCAGGTGGTGACCACAGACCACTTCTCAGTTCCTATGCTTCCTGGCTGATGTGTTGGTCACTTTTGAATGCTGGCGGTGCTTTCACTCTAGTGGTAGCATGAGACGGAGTCTACAACCCACACAAGTGGCTCAGGTAGTGCAGCTCATCCAGGATGGCACATCAATGCGAGCTGTGGCAAGAAGGTTTGCTGTGTCTGTCAGCGTAGTGTCCAGAGCATGGAGGCGCTACCAGGAGACAGGCCAGTACATCAGGAGACGTGGAGGAGGCCGTAGGAGGACAACAACCCAGCAGCAGGACCGCTACCTCCGCCTTTGTGCAAGGAGGAGCAGGAGGAGCACTGCCACTGCAAAATGACCTCCAGCAGGCCACAAATGTGCATGTGTCTGCTCAAACGGTCAGAAACAGACTCCATGAGGGTGGTATGAGCTCCCGACATCCACAGGTGGGGGTTGTGTTTACAGCCCAACACCGTGCAGGACGTTTGGCATTTGCCAGAGAACACCAAGATTGGCAAATTTGCCACTGGTGCCCTGTGCTCTTCACAGATGAAAGCAGGTTCACATTGAGCACATGTGACAGAGTCTGGAGACACTGTGGAGAACGCTCTGCTTCCTACAACATCCTCCAGCATGACCGGTTTGGCGGTGGGTCAGTAATGGTGTAGGGCGGCATTTCTTTGGGGGGCTGCACAGCCCTCCATGTGCTCACCAGAGGTAGCCTGACTGCCATTAGGTACCGAGATGAGATCCTCAGACCCCTTATGAGACTACATGCTGGTGCGGTTGGCCCTGGGTTCCTCCTAATGCAACACAATGCTAGACCTCATGTGGCTGGAGTGTGTCAGCAGTTCCTGGAAGAGGAAGGCATTGATGCTATGGACTGGCCCGCCCGTTCCCCAGACCTGAATCCAATCTGCTCATCTGGGACATCATGTCTCGCTCCATCCACCAACGCCATGCTTTAGTCCAGGTCTGGGAGGAGATCCCTCAGGAGACCATCCGCCACCTCATCAGGAGCCCAGGCGTTGTAGGGAGGTCAAACAGGCACGTGGAGGCCACACACACTACTGAGCCTCATTTTGACTTGTTTTAAGGGCATGACATCAAAGCTGGATCGGCCTGTAGTGTGATTTTCCACTTTGATTTTGAGTGTGAATTTGATTTCCATTGATCATTTTTGTGTGATTGTGTTGTCAGCACATTCAACTATGTAAAGAAAGGAGTATTTAATGAGATTATTTCATTCATTCAGATCTAGGATGTGTTATTTTAGTGTTCCCTTTATTTTTTTGAGCAGTGTACATGAGGTCATCAAACTTCGATGCAGCATAACTAATGAGAGGGTCAGAGAGATGCCAATCAAACACAGTCTTGACACAAAAAGGCTAATGAAAGTGAAAACACCTGTCTGAGAGGTGTATATAACTGTGGTTGCTGCCTATTTAACAGCTGCTGTAAGCGACAGACTATGTCAATTCGGTGCTTTTCCCAGTGTTAGCCTTTAGGTTACCTACATAGCTTTTTTGCCATTATATGATATACTGAAATACCTCAGCACCAAAATGTTAAGGAAATAGGCATAAATAAAGAATGCTTTCTTTGGTCATAATCACAAACATCATAAAATAAAACAAAATGCTAAATTGTTAACGGCAGATAGCAGATGATGTCTTCTTCTACCTGAGGCGGTTCTTGAGTGTGTGAACCTCGCGGCTCAGACCCTCGCTGGCCTCGGTGGCGTCATCCAGCTCTCGCTGCAATTTTCGGCGGGATGCGTTGGCCCTTGTGGCCTCCTCTTCCGCTTCCTCCAGCTGACGCTTCAGCTGCTTCATACGAGAGTTACCCTTTTCAACCTACACACACACACACACACACACACACGCACACGCAAAGGAAAAAAAAATATCGCAAAACAGTGCGAGATGTTCAAAAGCCAGCATTTTGGGACAGCAGGGTTGGTTTCTGATCTGGATTGTAGAATAGTGAAGTAGGTTTGTGTAAGATATAATAATGGACACCTATTATTAGAGCTTAAATGTCCAAGTGGGTAAGTGAGAGAGAAGGACGACCAGAGAGCCGCTGACAAAGCTCAAAACACTGTGACTGATCTCCTTTAACACCAGCGTGGGGCTGAACAGTTCCAATCACAGCAGCGTTAAAGTCAACAGTGTCGGACATACCTGTTCTTTAAACTGGTCGGCATGGCGACGCTCATCCTCCACTTGCATGCAGATTTCTTTCAGCTTCTTCTCGGTCCTTCTCACAATCTTGTTGGCTGCTGCTCGCTCCCTTCAGTGGAGAACAAGTGAAGTTTAGACAAGCAAAGTAAGATTTAAAGTCACGGGTAAACCCATAACTCAATTTTGATCTCATTTTTTAGCATAGATTCAGTTGTTGAACTGAAAAGAGTAGAGGGCATTGAATTCTCACTTGGCCTCCTGCTCCAGCTGTTCCTCCAGCTGTGCAATCTTGGCCTCCAGGGCAGTGATGGAGGCCTTGAACCGGCTCTTCACAGAACCCTCCAACTCGCCCAGCTTGGCCCGCAGCTCCTTGTTTTGACGTTCCAATTGCTGGCGAGCATTTTCGCTCTTCTGGGCCGTGCTGCGCTCCGCACTCAACTCTGTAGTCAGGGTGTCCACCTGCGTGCCGGACAGAGGGGAGGGGGTAGTGTGAAAAGGGAATCGTGCAAGGTGGGGTTAAGATTTTGAAATCCTATTAATATGTGCGACATTCATTTAATTTATAATTTTGCACAGGCTAATTAATATTTCTTATAAATCTTTAGATGTAATGTTAATCTGATGAAAATAGGGATGATCATTAAATTTGCTCTCACAGCACTGTTCCAATATCACACCACACCTGCATATTTGTCTTTCTGAAGCGGTCGTTGAGCAGCTCCATGTTACCCTGCTCCTCTTCCAGCTCCTCCTCTAGTTGGGCAATGCGAGCCTCCAGCCTTCTCTTCTCATCCATCAGTGCAGATCTGACACACAAAGGTCAAAGTCAGGATGCCATACACTACGTTCACCACCTCTCTCTCGATAAAGAGGACCAAACACATACTTTATGCACCAGCTAAAAGTCCACAAACATGCATTGAATGTTAACTGCAAAGGGGCTCTTCGCTTCACTGCAGGTGGGAGTTTCCAAATACAATCTCCCCTTGGAAGAAAGTTTTTGATTTGGTTAGTCAAGTTATTTGTAAAAAAGTTAAAACCCAAACTACTTCTACTTCCAAACGATTATTCTGAGTCGTTGGTGACCTCAAGTAAAAGTTCTTTAAAGGTTCAGTGTGTTGGTTTTAGTGGCATCTAGTGGCTCTTGTGCTAAATAATATGTTATAAAAATGTGGTCCTCCATTTGTCCACATACTAGCCAGATGACTACTAATACTACTAACGTTACTTCTTCTTCTTTTTCTTATCTTGTGTTTAGTTTTTACCACTGTTATTGTTATTATTATGGCTTTTTTTCTATTTTCTGTACCTGAATTATCTCAATGACCAAAAACGGTAACAATAAATGTTTAAAAAAGCCTGCCTGGAAAGCAAATAGCTGTGGATTCCTTGAAAAAATAGTCCAAGAAAGGTCAGTACAAGAGATGTGTCCTGACATAAAAATCCCCATTTGTCTGCAGGTTACAAGACAATATAAACAAGGAGATGCATGACGGATACTGTGTTTTGTCAAGTGGGTAACTACTTACTTTCCAGAGGTGCTGTTTGAGATTTCATCTTGCAGCTCATCCCGTTCCTGCTCTGCGTGGCGCCGGCCCCGCTCAGATGCTGCCAGGTCCTGCAGAGAACGGTCAAAGGTGAAACACAGGTTGTCATCGTCATCAATGTCGAGAGGGACCGTTCAATGCTTTATCATGAGTACACAGTAAATACAAAAACCCACCAACCTGCCAACCCTAACTGTGCGCACTGCCTACCATGTAACACAGCCAACATCACAAAATGGAAACCAGCACCACCCCACTGTCCTGTACCTCGTGTAGCTGGACAATCTCAGCCTCCAGGCTCTTGAGTTTCTTCTCATTTTCCTTGGATAAAGCGAAAATATCATCTCTAGAAGCTCGCGCGTCTTCCAACTCCCGCTGGTAGTCCTTCATTTGGGCCTGAAGGAGAACAGATTTTGCTGTGAATGGCTGCTTACTGTTGTACTGAAATGACTGATTCAAACATTAGTATCAAATCCGTACCTGTAACTTGCGCAGCTGTTTGATGGCTTCGTCTCGAGCCTTGTTAGCTCCTTCTATGTGACCCTCTATATCCTTCAGATCCATCTCCAGCTTCTTTTTAGCAGCTACAGCCAAACCTCTCTGCTTCCTCTCATCCTCCAACTCTGCCTCCATCTCTCGCACCTGGGGGGGGGGGGGGACAAGTCGTTAGCGGGGTGGGATTTAACTGCTGTTAAACTGCTGTTATGTAATGTTGTGTGCTATTCTGCACCTGCTTCACCAGAGCTCTCTTCTTCTCATCGTTCTGGTCGTCCCGGCCCTGAAGGTCTCTCTCATACTGGGCCTTCATGGCCTGCATGTTGACCTCCAGGCGCAGCTTGGCGTCCTCTGTGGCCTGCAGCTCGTCCTCCAGCTCCTCCAGCTGAGTCTTCATCTCCTCCAGCTGCTGCTCCAGAGTGCGCTTGGACTTCTCCAGCTCATGGACCTGACAGAGGAGGAGATAAACACAGGATGATTGGTGAGACTACTGCTCAATAATCTGAGCAAATCGCATGTGCTTTATTGATCCTAACACTCACGTTCTTGCCCACGTCATCCTTGGAGCTCATCAGATCTTCCATTTCAGCACGAAGCTGCTTGTTTATCCTCTCCAGCTCCTCTTTGGCCTCCAGCGCCTCGTCCAAAGCTCTGGTCATAGAGAGAGCTTTGGTCTCCTTCTCCCTGGCCTCAGCTTCGGCACGGTCTCGCTCTTCAGCGTAACGGGCCGAGATGCTCTTCTCCTCAGCCAACATCTAGAAAGGAGGAGGATTCAGCATTTAATAAAAATTATATTTGTAATTTGTAAGAATGGTATTGCAGTGATTGACAAAATAAATATCTAAACTGTAAAACCAAAGCATAACAATCTAAGAGTTTCAAACTCACTCCATCCAAAGGTGTTTTCCAGAAGAAATATGCCCAATAACGTGCGTTCTCACCTGGTCAAACTTCTTCTGTTTCTTCTCCAGGTTGGAGACGATCTGTCTCTGGTGATCCAAGTCAACTGTCAGATCATCCAGCTCCTGCTGCAGACGAGTCTTTGTCTTCTCCATCTTTTCAAAGCCGATGGTCTTCTCTTCCAGACGCTGGCTGGCCAGTTCCAGGTCCTTCTGCAGCTTCTTCTTTGTCTCCTCCAGACCCTCTATTGTTCCAACATCATCTTCTAGTTTCTTCTTGCTCTCTATCAGCTTCAAACAAAAAACAAACAAACAAAAAACAAAAACAAAATAAGCATAATTCAGAATAAAAAATCAACAAAAATTTTAACATTCAAATATTTAATTCACAAGAGAGCACAAGTCCTACCTGAGCTTGTAGGGCCAACATCTGTTTCTCGAGATTCTTTCGAGCCTCTTCATCCTCCTCCTGCTGCTCCTGCAGAGTGTTCTTCTCCTCCTCCAGCTGGCGTATGCGACTGCTGAGGTTTAGTTTCTGACGTGTCTCCTCCTGGAGCAGCTCCTAAAGGAAAATCAGTATGTGTCCAGTAAGTTTAATAGAAAGGATGCATTCACTGTGTGGATTGATGATTCATTCTGTATGCCACCTGTGTGTCTAGCAGCTGACTGTCTAGTCCAGCGATGTCTTTGGCCATCTTGATACCCTTCCTCTCTGAATCTTCCAGCAGGGAAGACACATTTTCCAACTCCGTCTGTATGGAGATGTACCAAGGTAACAACATGGTTGTCAATGTAAGTCAAATGTATATGTAAAACATTTTAAACATATGCAGTAATGGGGATTTGGTTTGCATTAAAGAAGACATTTTATTTTGGTTCTTTATTACAAGAACTGTTATATTGGCAGAAACAAATTACTGTATTTTCTGGGAATATTTTTTTAATGGTCATTATTGTTTTGTATTGTTTATTTTTACTCATACTTTCCAACCTAAAAATCCAGGAATTATCCCTATTTTGAGGAAAAACTAAATATTAATCCAACTAAAACCATTTTTGAAAAAACTGATTCCACTGTATTGAATCAAAAATCTCTGCCCCTCACCTGCAGTTTGTGTGTGCGTTCAGACAGTTCTCCCTTGGCCCGCTCTCCCTCAGTGACCCTGGCCATGGATTCCTGCAGCTGAGCCTCCAGTTTCTTCCTCTTGTGTTCAGACTCTGTCTTCGCCTGCTGCAGGATCTTGACCTCGCTGGCCAGCTCCTTGTTGGCAGTCTCCTGGCTCTGCTTGGTCTTCTCCAGGTTGGCCTTGAACTAGACATAATTAACAACAAACATTAGTGTGTAGTCAGAAGTTATGTCCCTTTCTTTTTGGTGGATTTGATAATCCTGTGAAATAAGATTGTGATTGTATGTTACCCTCTTGGCCTGTTCCAGCTGTTCAGACAGCTCTTCCAAGACAGTACTATGCCTCTGTCGCATCTCCTGGATCTGTGATTCGTGGTTTTTAGTCTCCTCCTCAATGGTCTTCTTCAGCTCTGCAACCTCCTGTTCACGCTTGGTCCTACAACAATAATATCACCGGCTAAACACCCCACTGTCTATGATCTAAATATAAAAATAAAGAAAAGTAAAATGCAGTACAGAAGTACCTAAGTTCCTGCTGGGCAGCGGTTGTATCAAGGGTGTCCTCCAGTTCAGTCTTAAGGGCTTCAAGCTCTTCACTCAGGTCCCTCTTTAGTTTCTCTGCCTTGTTCCTGGCCTGTTTCTCTGACTCAAGGTCCTCCTGCAGCTCAGACAGCTGGGCCTGCAGCTCCCTCACCTGCTTCAGAGCGTTGTTCTTATGGCTGACCTCGTCTTCACCCCTGTTAACCGTTGAGAACAATGACGAACACGCAACAAAAGTGTGGGCACAATATTGTGACTGTGCTGGTACGACTGTGCTGGTACGACTTTGGAAAACAAAACCAAGACCCTCGCTGCAGTTTTCCGCAAAATTAAGATGCACCTGAGTTATTTTATTATTTACTAAAAAACAATTTCATTCACTTTACACATGTCAGAAATATGAATTATGCTTAATAATGCTTATTTGCACTAATTATGTCCAAGTGCAAAATGGTGCTGAAAATCTTATTTATTATTATCTTTTAATTATATACTGCTTAAAAACATAAAGTGAACTGTTTGGTAAAGACTCCACTGGGAGGCAGCAGAGTCACTGTTTCATAAAGCAGTTGAAGCCTACAGTTTTGGACACTCTTAAAGTAGCCGTCTGCTGTAAAAGGCACTTATTAGCATGGTCTCACACTTACAAATACCACACAAATTACACGCACACCAGCAATAGTCACACATCGTAAACAAATTCCAGTGCAGTGAGAATCAGTGAATAAATGCAGGCAGCATGTAATAGGGGAGCACAACAAACATTAAAAGCTCAGAGGCTATTTTTTGGATGATAAGATCACTGCTGTACACTTTGGAGTGTAATCAGTTCAATAAAATGTGGCATATAAAACCCCAGGTGTGAATGTATCTTGTGTTTAGTGAGATGAGCGTTCTGAAAAGCTATGTTGCACTTAGATCAGACTGAAGCATAATCCCACTGACTCAATATTACAGCTCCAACATCCACATTTAGCTCAGTGCTGTTTCCATTCTCCTCTATGGTGATCCCAGTATCTATTACCTAGCCTGCATCATCTGCTGCTCCTCCTCCTTCTTGCTCAGCTGAACTTTCAGCTCCTCGATCTGGGCCTGTAGCTCGGATATCTGGTCCTGGAAGTCTGACGTCTCCCCATCCAGCTTCCTCTTCGCCTTCTCTAGCTCCTGACGAGTCTTCTCCTCCTTCTTCAGTCTCTCTAAATTAGAAAAGAAGAGGATCGGATGGTTTATTAAGAAATGTCTTTGCGTTGTAGATTCATTCTAAAACTTCGACAGATTAAGTATACCACTTTACTATTCTACACATTCTGTATTTCACTTTACTCCTTTACCCTCCAGGTCGGCCATCATCATCTCCTGCTTGTTCTTGACTTTGCTGAGGTTCTTGGCCTTTTCTTCCTCTTCAGCTAACATTGAGGTCATCTCATTGATTCTGTCCTCCAACAGCTTCTTTTCCTAAAGGAAAGAGATACAGGCAGGTTAGCGCACAGCTAGCTTCTCAACTCAGCATCGACATATTTTGGTGATCTACAACTTTATCTTATTATGCAGTGCAGTAAAGGAGAACTGCAAGACCCTCCATTTCTAAAACTAACCTTCACATTTTGACACAATGACTCTTTTCATTCATACCCAACTTAACTCGAATGTAGACCATCATAGCCTTCTCTAGCTCACCTTGTGGAACTTGGAGTTCTGGTCTTCTAGTAGCAAAATGTCCTCTTCATATTTCTTCATTTTGGCCTCAGCTGTCACTTTCTCCAGCTGAAGCTTCTGCCGGCCAGCCTCCTCCTCATCCAACTGTTCTTCCAGGTCCTACACACACAAGTATTTAGCCATAGCAACAAACACAATTAACATATTTGTGTTATTTAACTTTTTAAAATAGAAAGATTTTTTACATACATTTCCGAGGGTGCAAAATCTGTTTTTCGTTAACCAGTAATTTTGATAGTAATTCCACATCTCCTAGGACACACCTGGATATGGGTCTGCATCTTCTTCTTCTCGTTCTGCAGGCTCTGGGTCCTCTCCTCTTCTTCCTCCAGCCTGGACTCCAGGTCATGAAGGATCTCCTCCAGCTCTTGCTTTTTGGACGCCAGGCGAGCTCTCATCTCCTCAGCCTCTGCGAACAGCTCTGTCTCTGCCTGCAGCTGCTCTGCTAGGATATTCTTCTCCTCCATTAACTACACACAAATAACACAAAAACCTTCAATTGTTCAAATACAGATAAACAGATATGTATATACAGTATATATATATATAATATGGGACTAATGCCGCTGAGTATTGCTGTGTTTGTAACTGACCTGCTGGTGTTTCCTCTCCATTTCTACCAGCTCACCCTCCACCTTGGTCTGCTTCTCCTTCACCTTGACCAGCTCTTCATCTTTGGCCTGCATCTCTTCCTCCTGCCTGGTTACCTGCAGCAGAGGCTTAACCTGCAGGTACAGATGGACAGAAAAGCTTCACAGGTATGATCTCTACTCATAAATCTGACCAGTTACTAGGAGATGAGTACCATCCAGAGGCAAACACATGGTCCAGGCACACACCTTGGTAAAGAGTCTCCACCACTGCCAGTGACGCAGCTTCAGGTAGGCAGCGCAGTTTCTCTGGAGAACCTTCAGAGCACTGAGCTGCTGCTGCTTCTTAGCAAAGGCTCTGAAGCATTACAGCAAGAGAACAAAGACTCAGTGAAACAAAAGAAAACTCTACTTTCTTGTGATCAAATATATAGAAATGTCTGCGTAGTGGATCTCGAACGCAGACAGCAGCGGTAGAGCAGCCCTTACTTGCGTGCCAGATATCCCCGACAGACGGCCTGGAAGTAAATGATGATGTCAGTGATCTTCAGGTCCCTCTCTTCCTCCAAGTGGGCCAGAACACCGGCCCTGAAGAAGATCTTACTTTGGCCGATACGAAACAGATTGCCGTCCAGCTCCAGAGCTTGAATCTGCCAAAGACAGGAAAAGATGTTGAAAGGGCAAAGGGCAACTGGAGGTAACCGAAGGAAAAAACTCCTTAGCTCTTACTTTTGTTCATCTTCTTAATTCTTTATTTAGACTGTCTCAAATGAATAACTTTTTGATTATGTCATGCAATTGTCTTATCATTTTATCTTGAATACAAGACCCTTGTTTCAAATGTGAGCCTTGTGCGCTCTGAGGCAGCAGTCGAAATGATTTAATTTGTTCTAAACTAAGTCCATGTCCTTACCATTCTCTCACACGCCTGCTTGCCATCCATGAAGCCCTTGGGAATGGCGTTAGGAGTGAGGATCTCATACCTGTACACGGAGCAAAGAAATAAGTGCATTATGATGGAAGTGCATTCGGACGGAGGGTCACTAGGACAGTGTTAAATTGCAGCTCCATACTGGCTAAAATGTAATAAATAAAAAAAAGGGAAGGATGACATCAGATCTCTTTTATTAACAGGTTGCAAAAATATAGTGGTGGGTTCCGGTCATATACGTAAGCCTTATATCATGTCAGATTACGTGGAAAGGGTGTGAGATATACTCAGACTCCTTGCAAAAATATAATTTATTATCTATGTATGACAATTATGTTATGTATACAGACTCATTTAGCTGACACTTTTATCCACAGCGACTTACAATTGTCAGAGGTCGCACGCCTCTGGAGCAACTAGGGGTTAAGTGTCTTGCTCAAGGACACAATGGTGGATGGGTCACAGTGGGGGATTGAACCCAGGTCTCTCACACCAAAAGCATAGTCTTATCCATTGCGCCATCGCCACCCCTTAACTTAACAATGTACTTTTATTTTATAAAATGTATATCATGATTTCCTGTATCAGACTTGTTAAGCTGACATTACAACATTACCTCTGTCTGAACTCCTGGAAGACGATGCGGTTGGGGAAGCCCTGTCTGCAGATACGGATCCCCTCCAGCACACCATTACACCTCAGCTGGTCCAGAACCAGATGGGGATCCAGTTTACCAGCCTGGGGAAAGAGGCAGAAGAAAAAATAAGATTTTGATGTATGGGTAAAGGTTCTGTATACATTTTCTTTACTTGAAGTTTTTTAAATTTGGGTTTATTTGGGATTCTTGCCATTATTTGTGGTCACTAAAAGTGCATCAAAAACTACCCCCAGGATCAACTGTCGCATACATGAGTCTTTATAAAATCCCACATAATGTATAAATAATAATGTACAGTAAATATAAACTCTAGCCTCATTAGGTCAGCAGATTTAGTTAAGCAGATCTCAGGCCAGCTGATACAGACGGTCACTGTGACCATCTTATTAAAACTCACCCTTTTCTCGTGGTTCGGGATGATGCAGCGCACAAAGTTGGGATTGGTGTTCCTTAGTGTGGCCATCAGTTTAGATAACTGCTCCTTGTACAGCTGTCCCACGGTGCGGAACATGCCCTTCTTGGTCTTGTAGGCGGCACCAAACGCTGTCTCATTCATGCCTGCAACCTGGTCCAGACCCACAATTCGGTCGACTGGTGAAAAATGAGATGAAGAGAAAGAGAAAGACAACTGTGTTAATGCAGGGATACATAGGTAACTGACGTGACTTTAGTAATGCTGGTTTTACTAATAAATGTGTTTATGTGTAGAGTACATTATGATGCTATATACATGAATGTAGAAAAGAGTAAAGCCAACAAAATTACTTTATTGAATATTTTATTGGTATTTACATTCAATGGGGATATTCATCAGGAACTGTTGCCAGTAAGGGTTAAAGTGTGCAACTGAGCAGGATTTATTCTTTTTTTTTGTGTGATAAAAGATCACAATGTTGTATGTTTCTTTTTTTAATATTTTTTGCTGCTTGGATTTCTATTGTGTGTATTTGTTTATTTATCTGCTTTACTCTTTAACTTCCCATCCTGTAACTTGCTTCTGTAACACCCAAATAAACTTAGAGCAAATGTATTAAATAACAGGTACATGTACATATATCCATGTAAATGAAAACTGAATCAATGCACAATCAAACTTCCTGCTTTAGGGGCGTCTTGGCGGTTCAGTAGACCACCCTTTCACAAAAAAGGAAAAAAAGGCAGCTCCATAGCGTTACCAGAGGTCATAAACTCCACAGGGAACCTTGAAACTTCTTCCTTTACAGGCCCCCCATCTCTGTACTATATGTCTCAGATTATACAGATCCACCTGGATCCAATCCCTCAAAATTTATTTGGACACTGAGATTTCTTTCCATCTGCTGCACTCATGGTTAAGCCTGTTGAACGCAATAAGATAGATTGTATAATCACTGGGATAATAATATTTTAATCAAACTGTATTAGTGGACTCAGTGGCTGCAAATCACAGCAGCTTTACATAAACTATATATCTATTGAGTGGATAGGGGATATTTGCCCTTTTTAGGTGTAGTGACACCATCACTAAGCATGGCATCCCACTAATCCAATTTCATTACTGTAGCCCTTTTAGTAAATAAAAACGTACCACGGCCTTAAAGGTTTCAAAAGTCATCATCTGACCAGGCAAATGTTCAATAATAATTGTATCAGTTGTGTGAACTCAACAAAATGTCATTATTGGCATGATTACAAAAATAAAGGCCTTACCTGGCTTATCATTCAAGCAATAGTTGTTGGAATAACTATAGTGGCACCAGCATTCATGGAAGAATGAAATGTTTTAGCGTCAGAGTTTTAAATACAAAAGGAGTACAGCCATGCAAAGCCAGATGGGAGTTTTTTGAGGGGCGCACACAGCAGCCAGGACAGGACAGGGAACCAATGATCCCTCAAGTGTAGATGATGAGGAGAAGCCGCTGGTGCACGGTTAAGTATTACTATCATTCACCTGGAGCTTCATGGAGCCCAGACACATTGTCATAGAAAGAGGCTCTCTGAAACGTCTGAATGTCTACAGCAACAGAGACACGGACAGAGAAAGAAGACAGGAGAGTGAGAGAAAGAAAAAAAGTAGGCATGCAAACACACACACACCCACCATTCATACACTCACAAACATACACACTTTCAGAAGCATTGATTGGCTGTTAAAGAAGAGGACTGAAGAGTAAAAGTCAGTTCATGCACTCTAATATTACAGTACATGCTTATTATCAAAGCCTTGTTATTATTCAAAGCTAATGTTGGGTTATCACAGCTGAACATTAATCAGGAGAAAGATTAGTCCAGAAAGTGTTATATAACCATTTTGCTTTCCATTTGATTTGATCTGAGATGTGATTCCAGTAAATAAATAATGATATTGAAGCCTATGGTTGCCATCTGAATATTAAGTGAGTGAGCTGAGCTGTGGGAGAAAATACAGGATTAGCAATAAATCTGTCCTTCACCTCTGAGAGAAGAGTCCTGGATGTGGTTTACCTCGATTATACTTAATGTTTTTGCTGGCAACACTTATCCCACATTAGAGAAACCAAAAAGCTCACTGCTGAATGAAACTCAGACAGGAGATGCAGTTGTTTACAATAATACATTTACAGCCATGCTTGTGCCTCTTTAAAGGCTGAATTTATACACAGTTGTGCTTTGAGCTAAATGCTAATGTCAGCATGCTAACATGCTGTTTGGCATGTATAATATTTGTCATGTTCATCATGTAGTTTAGCGTGTTGGCATTCTAACATTTGCTAATTAGCATTAAATACAAAGTACAGCTGAGGCTGACGGAAATGTCATTAGTTTTGCACACTGATTTGTGATTCGATGATGGTCCTGGATGATAAGCATCACCACATTTGTTACAGTTCATCCTGAGGGGAACATGAACATCTTGACCAAATGTCATGGCAAGCTATCCAATACTTGGAACAACCAACTGACTGACATTGCCATCCATAGAGCCATGGCTAAAAACCCAAAAGAGAGGATGAAAATGCTTTTAAAAGATTTTCTTTTTGTCTCTCATTGGTTCACTCCACAATAGATATGGTGTGTAACATCCTTCTGGACTGATATGAATAATTGCAGGTTTATTTAAACAGCAGATTAAATTCAATACACTTTGTACAATTAAGCACTTGATGAGCTTTTACACAGCAAAAGAACTTGTTAAGAGACTCACCGTCTTTCCAGAGTTCAGCCACAAACTTGTCAGTTGACTGGTGAAGCAGCGTGGCCACATTGTCATTCAGGGGATCCATATTCTTCATGAGCCATTCATCAGCTTTATAGTCCACCTGAATTACAAAAGTAAACCCTCAGTGTTATTTTAGTGCTCAGCATTTCTTTATCATAACAGATTATCAAAATAATTTTAAGGTAGCGGCCTGCACCCAAACTGGTTAAGGTGTAATGTACTGTACATACCAACAATGGCCACACACTTCTACAATAATTTGGCTGGTTTGACATCCCAACAGCGAAAAAGCAACTCAGCATTAGATAAAATACAATACAATTCATGAATTTTGCTACATGTCATCCAGTCCTTTCATATACTGTTATATATGTTGACAGCATAAAAGCAAAACTACACTTTTAAAAGGACTGGCTTCCAGTCTCTAAATAATTGCTATGTTGCTTCTCCTGTCTACAACAGAATGTGAAGTAAGTCTTCAGTGACAGCTAGATTTGGCTCTTATAGTGTTTTCAAATGCCACACAGTTGTTTTATCTTACAGGCAATACCAGATGTGCTGTATGTGCTTTGTGGGACCACACAATTAGTGGTAGAAAGTTCCAAAATTCCCATCAATCAATGATACACAATACTGACATAATAAGAACTGTTAAAATAAAGACTTTATATTATTTGCACATTATATTTGACTGACACCGCAGTCAGGTCTTACTGGAACATACTGTGTTGATGGGATTAGTCTCTGTAACGTTATAATGAATTTTACTTGTAATGTGTTTTTCAAACGTCTAACGTACTACGAAGATTGTTGGAGTAGAGCAGAATTTAATAAGCAATTGACACAGTCAGCAACCTGAGATGAGGAATGTAATATCTCCATATGGGTTTCATCAGAATTCTGGAAAAGCAAACTCACAGTGTTTGCACTTATTTTCCTCTTCAGTATCATTCTGCCATGCAGGATTTATTTGATGAAGTTCAAATTTAATGCTGGCTCCAGTTTTGAATACTGGAGGCTTATCATCGGGTTGAATCAGAGATTTCTTCCTGTTTGTCATGGTAAGGCTCAGGACCGATGTTTAGACACGATTGACGCCGATGCTCTTCACTTTGTTCATATGCACGTCAGACAGGAAAAAGAGACAGGTAAACCAAAATAAACTATCACTTTGGGGATGATATCAGTTTTCATGCTGCAACTGACAAGCGTCCTCTCTGGAATGTTGCTGGGTATCATTTTCTCTTTACAGATGGCAGACCACCACACAAAGGTGAAAGTTGAAAACTTCCGTTATGTAACTGCCAGGCAACCAAAGGCTCAATCTTACACCAATGTGAACCAGATGTGGGTTTCTTACAGCAGCAGTACGACAACTGGACTATTGTTTTCAGGCAATGACCTGGTTAACGGCGCCTTCAGAGGAGCAAAGTCTGTGCCTCCTGGAAAGGCTTCAAAACAGGTCAGAAGCAGAGTTGTTACATGAGGAAAACAGAACATGGATATTCATCCATGAATAAACACATATTTAATTTTTTTAGTGTCTTTTTTTTTTGAGCTGTCTTTTCAGAGTAGTGGCATACTTAAGTAGTACGTCCAACCAGCTGCCATTCCCAAGAGAGCAGCCAGAATGCAAGACCACTTAATGGGCCTGAAATACATACCTTCCCTGCATAGTGAATGATGCAGAAGTCAGCTTTGTCCTTGAGCTGACGTGGCTTCTGAAACTTGGTGTGTGTGCCCTGCTCCTGGAGCACTTTGTCTATAAAGGTCTTGTCGGTGGCTTTGGGAAACCAGCACTCCTCATCCAGCAGAGCGAGGATACCAGGGGGGTTAGTCTGTGGAGACAGAATGTGTTTAACACATGTATTCATAAGCAGACGCATGCAGTCACACGCACAAGTGGGGACCACTGACCGGCCTCTCAATGAGGTCGATGCAGGGCTGCAGGTCCAGGCCGAAGTCGATGAAGCTCCACTCGATGCCCTCCCTCTGGTACTCCTCCTGCTCCAGGATGAACATGGTGTGGTTGAAGAGCTGCTGCAGCTTCTCATTGGTGTAGTTGATACACATCTGCTCAAATGAGTTCAGCTGAAAGGAAGCAGAAGTCAAGTTTGTTAGTATTACTTGATTAAACTAATAAAACATTTCAAACAATCAGACAATCTGTATAATTGGATTCTGTTTAATCCATGTGTAAAGGAACACAACTACAATGTGTAGAAGTTAGTTTATGTTTTGTGCAATTTAGTTTTTTAGTATTAAAGCATCACAATCAGCACCTCAAAGATCTCAAAGCCAGCAATATCCAGGATGCCGATGAACGACGCCCCCTGGCGTTTGGTCCTGTCCAGGGCCTTATTAATGCGGTGGACCAGCCAGCGGAACAGCCGCTCATACGTTGCCTTGGCCAGGGCTTCAACAGCAAAGTCAGCCTGAGGAAAACACAAAGAGCGCGCAGGACCACGGACAGTAACCATGAAACACACTATTAATAATACACAGCCCACTGAGTCATGAATGCAAATATAACAATAGAAATTTTGTGGTGCTGTTTTATCGTGGCATGACATCAGACCATAGGTTACAGTAAGGACAAGCCATTAGGAAGATGTTTAAACATATCCTATCACCCATGAGTTAGCAAAACTGAGGTGTACTATAAACAGAAAGACAGAAAGGCAGATATAAAAACTGGAATTCAACTTTTCCAGGTTTGATGTTTTAAAAAAAATGTATACAATGCAAACATAACACAAAGAGTTCGATTGCACGTTACCTGTTCTTTGGTCTGTGCCTTCTGTACATAGTCTCGTCCCACTTTGATCCTCGGTGTGAGGATAGCTCTGGTAAACTCCATAACATTCATTCCAAGTAGGTGGCAGAGCTTCTGCGCCACTGGGAGTGTGAGGAAGCAGGACGCATGTAATTTATTGTTTCAATATAGACTTCACGCTGGTTCGCATATACAGCTTCAGATTTCATTAAAGATGAGACAGACAGACTTTTTTTTTGCTCTCTTCAGATTAAAGGTTGATGTTAGGTTCAAACAATGAAATAAAACATCAAATAAGCAAGTCTGAAAACAATACTGCCTAACTACATTTAAACAATGCAGAATATATGACCATACCCAGACTCAGCCTTTTCTGGCTGGGTGGAGGGACTTTGTTCAAGTGAGTTCTTAGGGAACTAAGTTGATGGCTGACTATGTTGACTATGTTAATGGATCAGACCGAAAACTTAATAAAATTACTATATTTTATATATTACACTGAGAGGTATGTGAATACAATTTAGTCATGACTGATGACAAGCATGCCAACAGACACACAAATGTAACTTCAGTGCAATGATGTTTCAAATAAAGCATGTGCTCACTGAGAATGAGGCGATTGTGTGAGTATGTATACGTGTGGAAATGATCATCGGTTTTCCACTGCCTGTTGTGGTGGAAGCAGAAGCGCTATAGTCATCTCATTTTCTGTATTCATGAATCATGACTGACAGTAGGGAGGAGGAGGTGTTTTACTGTGACTGGATGATGGAGGTTTACCTGTGTTCTCAGGCATGGAGGCCTGATCAGTGTTTCTCTCTTTCTTAAAGATGATGTTGCCAAACTGCAGCACCGCAGAGACCACCTTCAACATGCCTGGCAAGGATAAGATAGCAATTAGGTAATGGTAAGAGAGAGGAAACAAAGTCATTCATTATAGAAAGAGAAGGAGAATACTTTGTTTCAGAGCACATCTGGAAGTACTACTCACAGACAATCTCATCGTGGGAGAAGCTCATGATGTGCATGGCATCCAATGTTTCCTGGAAATTATCCTTGTCCTGCTGGCCTGGGATGGGAATGTTACCATTTGACAGGAAACGATAGTTGTTAAAGCCTTCGAGGAGCAGGTCCGCTGGAGAACAAAAAGAAAGTTTTTCAAAAACTATATTATTTTAATGGTCATTTTAATCAGTATCCTCATTTTCATGCTTTTAGCTTTGTGCTGTATGTTCTTCTAGTTAATGTACAGTGTTGAATGTTTCAGGATTCGTTTCAGTGTATACTTTCTGTTTATGAAGTGTAGTAGGCCCATGATGCCTGTTGATTTTGCCACTTTTAAAGACTGTCTGATGTCAGTGAGGTAGGTGTTAAATTTGCATCCATTTTCAGTAGAGACAGCTCAGTCTAGACTCAGAGAGTAAGCGGACAAGCCAGGGAGAGAAATGAGTTGTAAAGTGTTGACTTGAAATGTCTAAACACGTTCTGCATCATCATGGAACAATGCACCGATGAGCTAAATTAAAAATTAACAAGAAAGATTAGTTGGCTGGTGCAAATTCAAAGCAGCTTTCTTTAGCTCTATTGCCTGAAGCAAAGTGGCAGAAACATGAAACCTCACTGTCATTGCGCTGATACTTTTGTTTATTCTGATTGCTCTTTGTAGCAGTTGTCAAACACTCACTTCGGAGATGCTCTCCAGCTCCTGCCAGCAGGCGATAGAAAATGTGGAAGGTCCTCTCATCTTTGGCCTGTCTAATGGCCCTGGACTTCTCCAGAAGGTCTGAGAGCAAAGGTTAAGGACTGACAAGGATCTAACAACATGAACTCAATAACTCTAATAAAGTACACAACCAATAAGTCTTCCTAGAAAACACTGGGGAATCAAATGCTTATTTCTACTACGAGTGTTGCAACAAAGGAATATTATCCTGAGGAGCCTTATCCATTGTTTCCCTCACCAGGCATAAATAAACATGAATAAACATGAGGAACAAAAATAAAAACGTCTTTAGAGCTCAGTGCCCTCTAGCTCCATCTGGAGAATATGAAGAACGGGAATGGCATTCTTGTGGTTAAGCATAAGTGAGTCCAATAGCCAGACCGCTGCTCTCAGCTCCAAACTCAATGTGTACCCTGTCTTTTAGCTCCCTTTGTTGTGTTTGAAACAATCCTTTGACCTTCTGCTCCATCAGCCTGTCCCAGTAATGAGGATACATGTTTCAATATTGGCCCCGACAATGTAGCCTGTGACATCAAAGTTGATTCTGATGAACTTCCCCTGCAAGAAACAAGACAAGACAAGAAATTTATGTTAAAAAAACGTGGTTGAGCTTGTTGAAACTTCACAGGTTAATTAAAAAAGCCTATGATGTCAGCGTGAACTGTGCTATATGTGTTTATGTGTGTTTGTGTGTGCATATGTCATATGTTCCTCTCCCTTCGAGCATTGTTGCATTTTTAAACACCACTTTGTGGACTCTTGCAGATGACAGACACACAGTGGAGAACAAAATGTCTATATTAGGAAAAGGTAGGTTAACAAGTCAGAAAGAATCTCAGGTATGTCTGTGGTTTCCTGACAGTGTGCATGTACGTGTGTGTGTGAATATGTGGCCCATCTGTCTACTGGTCCTCATTGCTTCTCATCTGAAACAACTGGTGATTCATGAGGACTGAACGCCATGGTGGTTAATCCTGGGCACATGGTTGACATAGTCATCCAAAAATGTAAAATGCTAAGAGCGAGGATAGTTGTGATTCCTGAAACTCATCATATAACAAGCACAGCATCAGTCTACTTTATAATACTTGACATTTTAGGAAATTATTAGAGAAGAGAGACTTGTGAAACAAGACCTATAAACAAAATCATTGTTTTTATCAAATATTCGAAAGTTACATATTTAAATTAAAAAGCCCCAAAAGATATAGTAAAGGAATTTTGGGAAATTTAAATAATCACTCTCGGGTCGAGAGTTAGATGAGTAGATCGATACCACTCTTACATGTGGTAAATTTGAAGCTACATTGAGCAGCTGGTTAGCTTAGCTTAGCACTAGTCTATATAAAGACCCTAGAACTAAATTTAGATCCTGGTCCCTGGAAACGCAGTGAGTTCCTTCAAAGGTTCCTAGTTCCGGGGTATAGTTCCTTTGGCCGAAACGCAGCTTATGACTGAAAGCAAGGGGAACAACAAGTGTTCTTCAACACACGGTTTTACGGGGGGGTTACATGGCAGACTACTTCTTGGCAGGGAGCAGAGTCTCCACTGGTTGCCTGGTGCTGCAGAGGTGCTGGTAGGCAGATTTTTTTAACCTTCAGATAGAGTCAGGCTATCTGTTTTCCCGTTTCCAGTCTTTATGCTAAGCTAAGCTAACCCAGCTGGTGGCTGTAGCTTCATATTCACCACACAGACCATGGATGACATGACAGCTCCCCAAACGTGAATCCAAAACATCTCGGATTCCACCCACTTGTGGCCGGCGGCTGTATAGGTCATAAACCCCGCCCCCTCCATTAGCGGATGGAACAAACTAAAAAAAGTACACGTAAAATACATTTTTCCCAAAGAACGTTTCTGAAATTTTAGATCGTTCTTATCCAGGATATTTTGGATTCAATTCTGTACAGTGGGCGGAAGTGAAGACTTCCATCTTTATATAGAGTCATGGTCCAGACATGAGAGTAGTGGGTATTGAGCTTCTCATCTCTATCTCTCATACATTTTGGGCCAATTTTGCTTTTTATCCCAAGGTAGAGTTAAGAGGTAAAACATGAAAGATACATAGATTCAAACTTCTTATAATCCATACAATTTTAGTTTTAAAATGCTAACCTTGAGAAACCCTCCATAGAATTATAGTATCTAAGACGTAGAGGGAGGACTCCTCACTACTGTTATCTTTATGGTGAGTTGGTAATAAAAGCATGTGTGTTTCTAACTTAACTTTGCTTGAGATTATGTACATTTCTTTGTACAGGCAAGGCAAATGGAAACTACAACTGATAGTCAAATTGATGCAAATCTCTTTCCCTTCTGACTACTATCTGTACATAAAGCAAGAGAATGATCATTTAAACAGGAACTGAAGACTCACAAAGCGAGATGAGTTGTCATTTTTCACTGTCTTGGCATTGCCAAAAGATTCAAGGATGGGGTTGGCTTGCAGGAGCTGGCGTTCCAACTCACCCTGTGGAGAAAGACAGAGAGTTTAGAACCCAAGTAGCTGTCAAACATTTCTAACGCCTGGCACCACGTAATGAGTCTTTTTATCACTATTTAATTTTCTGTGTCAGCCAAAACATACAAAAGCTGGTCAATTCTTCATTACAGAGCAGCAAGAAAAAATGTAATATGCTAAACCAATTGTTCAGACAGTCAGCAATTTATCATGGCTCTGCTGGCTTTACTTTAATCAGTTGCAGTACAATGTGATTTTTGTCAGGGGAATTTAACAAGTTTAATGGTCCAAGACAACCAAAAAGTTTTAATGGAACTCGTGAAACCACAAAGGCAATATAGTGAGTGTGTTTCGACATATTCCCTACAGTGAGTGGTTAGTTGATGAGTGAGAGCCTTCTTCCGGCCTGCACATTCCTGTGGCTTTGATGATATACCCTATATATCCAAAGACTGTACCACCATGATGGTAATGATGGCTTCCTCCCAAATCTCAAACCCTGGGTTGATAGGTGGTTGGGACATTCCCTAAAGGCCCTGAAACCTCCAGTTCCCCTAAACGGTCTCCTCTGCCCAGGGCTCTGGCAGTACAGAACTATCCCCTACAGCAGATCAGATCTTACCCTGATCTCACTCCATGATACTCTCTGACTGCAAAATCTAATTCTTTGGCCAGTAGTAGAGACAGAGCAAGAAAAGAGTACATCAGAGAGAACTGATGAGACATTTCAGGCTTTAATATGGAATAACACAGATACCAGTGCATCTGTCCCTGTAGAATAAAAAACAGGCATGCCCATTTGTCTTTCTCCCTGAGAGATATGTGAAAGTCTGGTCCCCACTAGTCTGCTTTACCTCTTCTCCACTACTTCATCTCCCCCTTCTGAACCTCTCTCCTCCACCATATCTTCGCTCTCCCTCGATCCCTGGTTCTACATTCCTCTGGCCTGTGCTCAGAGGCAGCCGTAATGCAACACAGAGGGAAAGCAGCATTAAGGAGGTCAGATGGTGTGGATGGTGTACTCTGGCAGGGGAGCACTAAAGCCCTGAGTTACAGCTACTTACTCTCAGGTACTGAAATACAGCATATTAAACAGGCATTCACCTGGATTCTGTGTGCTCAAAGCTGCAGGTTATAGGTTTCAGCTAAGACTCTGCTTCTATAGTTATTAAATTTACAGAGGACACGGAAACATCGGGTATTGGTTTAGGGAAGAAAGAAAAATAGCTCCTGGATAAATCAAGCAAAGCAGGGGTGAGCCAGAAAATATCAAGTTTTGTTGAGCACACGAGAGACAGGAGATGGAGATGGGACAAATTCAATACTGCGTCAGCAGAGTATCACTTGTGTTACTTCTGGGACACAACATTGTGGATTCAAAACTGAAAATCCAGGTGAGGCAACAACATCCACAGAAACGTCTCCTGTGTTTGGTTATTGACTGGGCAGCAAAAGCCACATATGGTTGGTTACCGGAATAATATTATCCCAACCAAGGCTAAAGAATAGGCCAATGAATTATTAACTGAACTACTCTTCAAACTAAACACATGCATCTAGAGTACATTACCAATGGAAAACATGCAAGAATATATTAAAAAATTACTGACATCATGTTTCATCATCTTTTTACCTGTGCATGTAGTGTCATATATTTAGTTAACTAAAATGCAAAACCCTTAAAACATTTGAGGAGAGATGTTTAGTGTGGCTGTGGTCTGAATTCACACTTCATGTGCACCATGTAAACCGCAGAAACAGAGGACGTACACAGAAAAGCTATACAGATTCAGTTAATGCTCGACTACCACTTAATGTGAACAGTTTTTGCATCTGACTGACGTCATGTTTTCTAATGAAACACCTCAATTTCCAACTGCTAACAAACTTGAAGCAACTGATAAAAGTTGTTTTAGTATCATGAGCCTGCTGGTTTAATGGCAGATTGAGTGGGCTTCAAATAATCATGTGAGACTGAGCCAGCACAAACAAATACCTCATGAACAGAGAAGCTTAGTCTGTCAACATCATCATGGAAGCAGCAGAGATTGAGAGAGAAGGGCATGCACATACACACAAATATCAAAACGGACCACACACTCTTTTTAAGAAAGCGGGAGATACACTTGCCTGGAGCTTGAATGCTTTGGGAGATTCGGGCTGTTTGTTATGGATAAACAAATGTAAGTGTTAAAACCTGAAGCGCTTATATCAGACACAAGCCTCAGGAAACAGATAACCAGTACACACTTAGTCCAGCATTGGGGACACTCTTTGCAGAATGGCTTTGGATGACATGAGGCAGGAGTAGTGACCAGTCAGGCTGTATTAAAATCTATTAGGTTAGCCGTGGATTAATACACAACTTGTTATCAGCTAATATCAAATATCCAAACTAAGCTATGCACTTTCATTTGGAGTAGAGTACAGTAACATTACAATTCATTAATGAATAGTTTGACATTTTTTGACATACGCTTATTCGCTTTCAGGAAGAAGATTAATCCCACTCTCATGTCTGTGTGGTAAATATGAAGCTACACCAGTTGGTTAGCTTAGCACAATGACTGGAAACAGGAGGAAACTGCTTGCCTAGCTCTGTCCAAACAAAATTCATCTACCAGCACCTCTAAAGCTCACTAATTAACACATTATATCATTCATTTAATGAACAAAAACAAAAAGTGTAAAAAAACAACACTTTGATGTTTTATGGGGGGGCCTGCCAGAAAGCAAATAAGCGTGTTTCCAAAAATGACAAACTATTCCTTTAAATAACAATCATGATGAGCTAATTCACAAATACCAAGGCTAGTTCAAATAGGATGTATATGAGAGGTCAGGAGAAACTAGAGGCCTGTGTTTGGCCAAGAAAAGAGAAGTAAATATGTAGGCAGTGGGGCTCTCACAGGAATGTGGTCTTTGCGTCCTTTGTGTGAGGAGGCAACGTGGGCCAGGTACTGGATGACCTTCTTCGTGTTCTCTGTCTTGCCAGCGCCTGATTCACCCCTGAAGACAAAGGGGACAGACAGCATGGATATACACACAGTGGACCGAGTGACTTAAAGGTGGGGTATGCGTTTCTGGAGAAATCCAATACTACGACAAATAACATGATATCACGGGACCAACGACACAGCAAGTAAAGTAACTAACGTTAGCTAGGTTTTGGATTAGCAAACTGTTGCTGCTGCAAAGCTAACAACGAGAGAGGACGAGACGGCCTCAGAGCCAGCACACCAGCTCCAGACAGCGATACTCATAACTCTCTGAAAGTAAGCTGAATGTCCGTGGGTGAGTCATTTAAAGTTACCTGACACACAAATCATGGCTGTATCAGTGTTATGTGGCTCGGCCTGAGCCACTTTGCTTGTTACCTATTTACAGAGCCAGGGCTGTGTGCAAACACTGGATATTTTCCAGCGCACACACAGAACGGACTGCTAGCAGACCATGAGGAGATATTCTCTTAATTTGTTAAAAAGACATGTATTGGATATGAATCACATACCCCACCTTTAATGAACACTGTTTTCCCATCACTTCCAAAAATTAATTAAGTAAACAAAACATCCTTTGTTTGCAATCATGAATTACAGGCTTCAAGTTGTGAGGCATAGCCACATTACAGAAATAAATCTGTGTAAGTTGCCCACAATTTAGCAAGGTACACACAAAACACTGTAAAACCCTAACCAAAACAACTCTCATCATTATGGTGGTCAAGAGGGACTGGACGAAGCCCAAGAAAAGAATAAACAAAGAGAGAAGGAGAGAGTGAAGGAGCATCAGACTATCTGTTGTTTTCTAAATCTATCCATCCGTCTGTCCGTCTGTTTTACTGGAGAACCCTGTGGTTTGGTGGGCCAGTCTCCAAAGTTTCCAGGCTCTGCTTTTGGGCTGTCTCTAATGATAGCTGTGCTCAGGCAGGCCCTTCCACAGCTTCCACAGTTAGGTCCCAGAGCCCAGAAAAATCAGAGCCAACACCGAAACCAGGCCAGCAATACTGCATCTAGCAACATACCGGTGGCTTTAGTCTAGCTGGCTATTAGCTAAGCTGCACATAAGCACTGCAGTTTTAGCTGCTGCACTAGAATTCGATGGGCGGGTCCTCGAACACAGGATAAAGGGCATAGCAATATAGGTCAAGTTAGTTACACATGCCAGTTTCATGGTTTTACAGGAGTAATATTACAGGGTCACTTGCGGCAGAACCCCTCACTCTGTGAACACTATCTATCTCCTGCTTTCTCACAACTCTCATATGGCAAAAAGTCAACTGTAGTCTCAGCTCTTCAGTGAGAGATTCTACAAGTTCTCTCTCTCATGGGCCACTCCCTGTTCTGTTCTTTGGTCAGCATATAGACATAGGCTTGTGTTCATAGTGAGCTAGAGAGCAGTTTTACAGCTGTCTGCAGACTTCCTTCACCCTCAAATCTTGTGTCTGATACTTAACACAGGTTCATCCTTGTTGGGAACTGACCTGCACATAAAGTGTGATTTATTTTTTTTAAATCAGTGTTTCTCTAGGATTAATGTTCCTTGGAGGAAGAGTAGCATATAAAACAGTATTAACAATGTGATGCTACATCTCTTGAAAGAAATGGAGGTTTGGCTAAAATACAAGATAAGATTAGATGAAATCAAACATTATTGATCTCAGGAGGGAAATTTAGCACTACAGCAAGAGGAAGACAACAAAAGGTAATAGCGAGAGTCACTTTTAACCACGTACTGGGCCTGTTTGCTTTACTGTATTTTGATGGAAAATAATCACCAAAAGTCTTTCTCTGTTCAATATAGATTTATTTCCAGCTTCGTGACCACCCTACTTATTAAACATTGGCGAAATACTGCTAAAATGGCCCCATTGTCACCAACAGAGGGTGCAGTTATTGAGAATTGAAGACAGATTATGCAACAGCTCTTGTATGCTCATTGGCAGTGTCAACTAAAGCCACACTGAAAGAGTGTGCCACTTAATTACTCTCTGCCATAGAAGATGAAGGCACGGCATCAGACCACACTCATAACTGCCTCGGTATTGGGTAGAGCTGCTGCACAACCCAGCATCCACAAAAAGCTATTTGAAACCAGTCTTTAAATTAAACAGCAGGATGATGGGAACTGGCTAACTGACTCAGGGTGAGAGAAACAAGGCAGATGGAGAACGTGTTTCTTCATAGAGACAAAACAACCAGCTAATTCATAAGTGATGATCCGTATGTGCTCTCATTGCACTGTATCAGTTCTTATTTTTACTCTTCCTAGCTGTTAAGTACATATATAAACATTTCGAGGACAAGAAGTGAGACCCTGCCTTTATACAAGGTAACCCCATTGAGGTGCAGCTATATAATCTTTATCCTGAGAGAGTTTCATTTTTCAGCCCATCAAGCTGCTCTATCAGCAGAACCACCTTAAAGAACAGAACAACCCTCAGTCCTAACAGAGTAATTATCTCAAGAGAGGAAAGCACAATCAATAGAGAGCTAAGGGTTGCTGTACTTACGTGCAAAGGATTGATTGGTCCTCACGATCTGTTTTGAGAAAACAGAAAAACAGAGTCAGAATCTTTCCATGCTCTCCCTGGTTTTACCCTTCATTACAACTGCGGTCAAGCTGTTGGGACTATAACACAACGTACCCAGTTCTTTTTGTTGGTACAGGCACAGCATCAACATGCAAATACAGGAGCTACAGTATGTGAGCAAGACTGTATGGTAGGATCACAAATTAACACAACTAATAGTTTTCCTGTGAAGAACTGGAAATAGTGAAATATTACTTCATGGACACCAAAGCGACATTTAACCAGTGTATGTGGCAAGAGTACATTTTAGCCCGACCGATTTATCGTTCTGCAGATATTATCGGCCGATATAAGCTACTTGCAGATTTAACTGCATCGGCGTTTATAACAGCCGATATGATTATTAAAAAGAGAAACAAGAGAGTCGGATCCTTCCCTCATGTCTTGAGTGTTGCATAGTTTGCCCTGTTCTGCTCTGTTGACAATGCTGCAGCACCACAGAACTAAACATCAGCTGACCGCAGTCTACTGGAGCTCAGAGCTACGATGAGTAGCTCTCACACTCAGTGTGCCCTGTGAGTTTGTCTTTTGTCACGTCAATTACATGACTTAAATATTAATAAAATAGCTCTCATCACTTCTCTTCATCGGAGACCTGACTTGATAACCCTCCCATTTTTCACTGCCCTCTCCAGGCTCAGCGTGTTTAATGTTACGGTAACCTAGTGTTGGAGGCTATGCTGCTGACAGACGTGATTATAGATTTATTTTTTAAACAGTTTGGCAGTCCTAGCGACCGGTCCTCTTATTTCTCTCTAATTTATTACTTCTAGATATTTTCTAACATCGCCAACAGTAGATAACGCTGCAAGTTGCTAAATTAGCCACAAAGCTAACGCTGTGTTTATCAGTGGATGAGGCTAACAGTAGCCTAATGAGCGATTAAACTGTAGTGTCTCACTTACAGTCAGCGTATCAGAAATGATTAAACCAGACTGAAACTTGTGAATAAATGTGAGCTGAACAAGTATCTAACACACAGTGGCAGGTCCTTGTTGTAGACAGTCATGTAGTATTAGATCATTTCAAGGGCACCGTTTCCTCTGCGTCACTGTATCATAGATCCAGAAGTTTGTTAAGAAATCTGTAGCATTGGATAGAACTAACAGAGTGCAGGTGATAAACTAGATGTAGAAAGTAGGCTAGTCATTGTGGCAGATTATATGTAAGGTAATAACTACACCATGACAAATATATATATATATATATTTGCCTATGTAGGAGAGCCCAGTTTATCATTATTATGATAGCAAAGGTCTGGAAGTAAAGCTGTTTTCCCCCTTTTTGTTCACTTTGTCTCGTATTAATCCATAAGAACACGTCTGAAAGTACTGCTTATGTTTTATGAGGCTCACTTGTCATGGTTATTGGAAACAGCATTTTAATTGTGTGGCAAACATTAAAAAACGATCGCGATGATAATCGCGTTAGACCGTTAATGGCATTTTCCATGTTAAGTTAGCATCGTGCTAATCGTAGATATTGTGACGGCAAGCTTCATATGCAGGAAAAATTGTGACCTTTATTTTTTATTTCTGTATTTCAGTTTTACAGTGTTTCTAACAGTAAACATCCCGAAACTACCTGCTGTCTCCTGGATATTTATTCATTAAAGAACCTGTTAGCTATCCGCCAAGCTAGCCACTGTGTCTTCATCATAGTGAGGGCAGAATAATAGTGCAATAGTGCCACGAACAGAGAGCAAAGGATTCAGGATGATGACCGTTGTGTGTTGAGGGAGAAGAGCAGTGGGGAGAGCACACACCCCTGGGGGCGCCAGTGCTAATAGTCCGGGTGCTGGATGTGATGTTCCCCAGTCTCACCTGCTGACTCTGTCAGTCAGGAAGTTTGCGATCCACTGACAGGTGGAAGCTGGAACAGTGAGCTGGGTGAGTTTGGTGCTGAGGATGTCTGGGATGATGGTGTTGAACGCCGAGCTGAAGTCCACGAACAGGATCCTTGCATATGTCCCTGGAGAGTCGAGGTGTTACAGGATGTGATGCAGTGCCAAGCTGACTGCATCATCCACTGACCTGTTAGCCCTGAAGGCAACCTGAAGGGGGTCCCGCAAAGGGCCTGTAATGTCCTTCAGGTGGGCCAACACCAGTCTTTCAAAGGACTTCACGACTACAGATGTCAGGACGACAGACCTGTAGTTATTTAGTCCAGATATGGAGGGTTTTTTGGGGACTGGGATGATTGTGGAGCGTTTGAACAGGAGGGAACTTCACACAGCTCCAGTGATCTGTTGAAGATCTGTGTGAATATGTGGGCCAGCTTGTCAGATTTGTTGCGAAGATTTTCAGGCAGGATGGAGACACACCGTCCAGGCCAGGAACCTTCCTGATCTTCTGCCTCTGGAAGAACTGCCGCATATCCCCCTCACAGATCATGAGTGCAGGTGAAAGGTCGGAGAGGGGGGTTGAGAGTGTGGCAGGTGATTGTTTGAAGATGGTGTTGGAGTGGGGGACAGGTGTGACTGTGAGCTTCTCAAACCTACAATGGAAACCATTCAGCTCGTCAGCCAGTCGTTGAGTACCAGTAGAGTTGGGGGATGGTCTCCTGTAGTTAGTGAGTGTCCGCAAGCCTTTCCACACTGATGCAGGGTCGCTGGCTGTGAAGCTGTTTCCTAGCTTTTCAGCGTAGCATCTCTTTGCTGCTTTGACCTCTTTAGTCAGAGTGTTCCTGGCCTGGTTGACGAAGCTGCCCGAGTTTTGCTGTGAACCAGGGTTTTTGGTTGTTGTATCTGCGGAAGGTTTTAGTCTGCACACACGTCCTCACAAAAGCTGATGTAAGATGTCACATTGTCAATTAGTTCATCCAGGTCAGTGGCTGCAGCCTCAAAAACACTCCAGTCAATGCAGTCAAAGCAGGCCTGTAACACCAGCTTTGACTCGTTGGTCCATCTTTTCATACTCTTTACAACAGCTTTAGTGGATTTCAGTCTCTGCTTGTATGTCGGGATGAGATGAACCAGACAGTGATCACAGAGTCCCAAGGCTGCCCCGAGAACAGAGTGATAGGCGTCCTTTAATGTTGTGTAGCAGTGTCCGGGATGTGCGGGTGAGCCAGGATTCGGTAAAACAGAGGGCGGCAGATCTGCAGAAGTCCAAGTTAGTTCGGTTGAAGAGCAGTAGTTCGTCCATTTTGTTGGGTCAGAGAGCGGACATTCGCCAGGTGGATCAAAGGGAGCAAAACCCAGCTGTCTCAGTTTATCCAGTGCGCCAGCTCGCCTTCCCCTTCGGCGTCTCCAAAGTATCCCAAACAGAGCTGCCGCTTCTCCAACTAATAACTCTGGGAAAGTTCCAGGTTCGATCAGGAGCGGTGTAATAGTGTTAGCAGTTGAAAGTCCAATGTTTAGGAGCTCTTCTTGGTAAAAGTTACCAGAGAGGGACAGCAGAAAACACAAAAGGCTGCCATCTTGCGCGGTGCCTTCACACAAAATGTGTGTTATGTTATGCGTTTCTTAAAATAAGAAAATAGAATATTAGCCAATATATTGGTTATCGGATTTTAAAATCCTCAAATATCGAAATCGGTATCGGACCCATATTGGTCGGGCTCTACACTTTACATCAAACAGCCCATTTCTCAGCCTCCTTCATCCAGACTACTCTTTGCTGTGCAATGGCAATAAACTGACACCCATACTAGTAACCGAAGCTGTCACGCCTTTCAAACACTGAGGAAATCAGACCACAGTCCAGATGACAGGATTAGCTATGCCCACTGAAGTGTGTGACCTCTCAACTTCGAAGGCCCTGCTGCGCACCACAGAGAACTTCACAACCACAACCCAGAGGGAACTGACCCTTTTCTCCGACACTCCTCTCATGGCACAATTAGACCATGCCCTAATCTAATATACCCACTGGTACACAACATTTACATTATGTCACATATTTCTTTCATATTTAGAAAGGATGAATTAGTTCTGTGAATATGGTTCAGCTTCAAGTTTGTATTTGTGCTTCTACTATTTGGAGTGGCAGCAGCAGGACGTCTCAGTAATTTAATTTTAGCTAACTAGTAAAACTGCTGATCTATTACTATTTCAATCATGCATCCATTACATTTAGCTAACTGTTTCAGAATTTAGTTGATTTAACTGAGCTTTCCAAGTACCCCATGGCACCTGCAGAAGTAGCCACTGGTGTACAAGTAGAAACTTAGGCCTACTTGACACAAGGTCAACAAGCATATCTTTCAACATGAGATAATGTATTTTTGGAAAAAAATTAAAATGTCAGTTTCATAAATAAATAGAAGTTATGTAAATCCTCTACATAACCTGATTTCGTGATATCCTGTTAATAATAACTGCTAATAATAACTTTATCATTTTCATCATCAATCTATCATTCAGCTGAACACCTCTTCTAAACCTCAACTACAACTACAAATACCTAAAACTGTTCATTAATCGCACCTTTTCCACACATTCACCCTCAAGAAAGCACTCATCAGCTCACATGAAAGGAGCCACATGATAAAAACCACATGAAGTGTTGTAACTGTTTACTGTGACTGAAAGCTACAGGCATGACTTAAAATCACAAAACCATCTGCTTGTGTAGTGTGAAGAACGAAGCCTGACATCACAGCGCTCTTTAGAGGATGGGTGACATTATTGAAATGACCTCGTCACGTGGTCCAACAACAAAGGCCAGAGGCAAAAACATCTAGGTGAGCGACATAAAGGAGGAACAGCTATATGGACTCCTTCCTGATGGACACCATGTCCATCATCACACACACACCTGTGTGAGCAAACAGGCTCTTAGAGTAGAGGTGGTATTTTGGTAAGTAATTTGGGTTCCACATGAGACTTTATTGAGTAAATATTCCATCATGTCACTACGACAATACAAAGACAAGAGACGGGTTTAATTATGACTTTAATGTGGTACTTTATTTGAGTCAGTCACAAAGTGAGTCCTCCTGCTG